ATCACATGATCCTGTATGGATTAGCATAACATGCAGTTATTGTAGAAGGGCAGACGCTCTATCTCCCACGTTTGCATTAACAAATTGCTTCCGAGGACAAGCAAAGCACATCTAGTACATGCAAATGAATGTTTTCAGACACTCCAAGTAACGACACCGTATCTCAGAGGTTGCAATGTTTCCTAACTAAGAATGCTTCAGTGCAGCCTGCCTAGTTTCATAGATATGTCCTTGAAACACAGGTAGCAGCGAGGCTCAGACTCACAAGTGGAACGTACCTGAATTTCCCTTGCGTGGTATACAATGATCAGACCAAGCAGAATGATTGTAGAGAGGCTAATAAGGCATTTTAGGGCTAATGAATACAGCGACTCCTGCAATAAGAAAAGAGAAAAAAATCGTGTGTACATTGATTGATTTCCCCTTCATCGTAAAGATCACAGAAGGGAATGCGAGCTATCTAGTCCAAGGAAGACTTAGTTCACTTTCTGGGTCTTACTCTCCTTGTTTTAAGAAAAGAGTAAGCATGTCAATGTTTTGTTTTGAAAGATGTTTCAGAGTGTGAAAACTTGCTTTTTATTTATTTATACTCCATCTTTCTCTACCCCGAAGGGGAATCAAGGCGGCTTACATTGTTGTTGGAGCAGAGGACTCCAATGCTAGGAAGAGATGAGTTTCAAAGAGCCTGACAAAGTAAACAATCTCCTGCAGAAACAAACTCTCAGATATAACTGGACAAATATTTTTGGAATTGAAACAACTCAAACAGCACTAATCTTTTGTTGAAGGCTTTCATGACCATAATCATTGGGTTGCTGTGAGTTTTCCAGGCTTAATGGTCATGTTCCAGAAGCATTCTCTCCTGATGTTTCACCCACATCTATGGCAGGCATCCTCAGAGGTTGTGAGGAGAGGACACAATCTCTGAGGATGCCTGCCATAGATGTGGGTGAAACGTCAGGGGAGAATGCTTCTGGAACATGGCCATAAAACTCACAGCAACCCAGCATTAATCTTGTTATGGATTATAAAGCTTTAACAGTTGGCTTTTCAAGTTATCTTATCAAGGCTATACTCTTTCATCCCCTTTCCGAATAAGAAAGAAACAATATTTCAGATACAACTATATAGCTGCAAATTGTGCCAGACACAGACAAAGAAAAAATAACCATCCATATCACAGCATTCGTCCAGAGTATCGGGATGAATAAGAATGGTACAAAGCAGATGTGGAAATCTGGCTTAGCTAACCTGTGCTGCCTGAGCAAGCCAGCAAGTGCCCATGTTGCTCACTGAACAGTAATATTGAATGAAGCAGAAGTACATTGCAAATTTCTTCCATAACACAGCACAGATTTTGAAACATCTGTTGAAATAGCAATCTGCAGCAAGCCACCTTTCACCACTAACTGTGGCACCAGAGGCAGGTTTGAGAAAAAGTAGTTGAAAACAGAAAACACTGTCATGATCACACAGCAATAGTCCTATGGACGTGAGAGAGAGAATTCAGGGAGAGTGTTCTCCTGGAAATCAGCATGTGGCTCTGCAGAATTGAACACTACCATGAGCTTCTTTGCACAAAGCTATACAGGAATAGAGTGTTGGCCACACTCCCCTGGAAACAGGTGCCACTCAGGTAATGAGACGTTCTCAATTAAAAAATAATAATGCATTCAGGATGGAGGAGAGGGGGTGAAAGAGTGGCAAATGAAGTGGGAGAAAAGAAAGGGAAGAGTGAAAACTACAATTCTGGAGGCCAGGGTTCAAATCCCTGCTCAGCCTTGGAAACCCACTGAATGACCTTGGGCAAGTCATGCTCTCTCAGCCTCAGGGGACAGCATGGGCAAACCTCCCCTGGACAAATTGGGTGCATCTACACTGTGAAAGTAATGCGGTCTAGCGCCATTTGAACTGCCATCGCTCAATGCTATGAAATCATGGGGTTTGTAGTTGTATGAAGTCTTTAGTGTGTTTTGTCAGAAAGTTCTGGTGCCTCATTAAACTACGATTCCCAGGACTCCATGGTATTGAGCCAGGGCAGATCTCCTGCTCTCAACCTGCATTCATTCTGTCTGTGATGGAATTGCATCCTTGTCATTGCCTCAATCTAGGAATCTACATTGGGTTGCAGCAACTTTGTGGAAAGGCATGGGCAAACTTGGGCCCTCCCTCCAGGTGATTTGGACTCTAACTCCCACCATTCCTAACATCCTCATGGCCCTTCACCTGATCTCAACCTGCATTAATTCTGCCTATGATGGAATTACATCGTTGGAATTGCCTCAAGGCAGGAATCTACTTTGGGGTGCAGCTACTTTCTAGAATAGGCATGGGCCCTCCAATTGTTTTGGACTTCAACTCCCACCATTCCTAACAGCCTCAGGCCCTTTCCTTTCCCCCCTCAGCTGCTTAAGTGGCTGAGGGGGGGAAAGGAAGGGGCCTAAGGCTGTTAGGAATGGTGGAAGTTGAAGTCCAAAACAATTGGAGGGCCCAAGTTTGTCCATGCCTGTTGTAGAATCAATACAATTTAATTAACATCACTTTAACTGCCATGGCTCCTGGGGTTTGTAGTCTGGTGAAGCACTGCACTCCTGGGCAGAGAAGGCTAAAGACCTTATCAAACTACAACTCCTATGGTTCTATAGCATTGAGCCATGGCAGTTCAAGCGCATCTCACTACATTCATTCATTCATTCATTCATTCATTCATTCATTCTATAGTGCAGACGCATTCTTGAAGGCAAGTCACAACAAGGAAACGAATGAGAGCAAATGAAGGAGACATAAAACAGCACCCCACAAAAAAAGTGGTGGAGGTAAATGATAAAGGAAGAGGGGCTTTAAGAAGTGTAAGAAAGGGGGAATGAAGGGAGGGTGGAGGGAAAATGAGAAAGGAAAAAGAGATATAAGAAAAGGTATAAGAAATCAGGAAGAGAAGGCAACGGGGAAAGGGAGAAGCGATGAACAAAGAATGAATGTGTTGTCGAAGGCTTTCATGGCTGGAATCACTGGGTTGTTGTGAGTTTTCAGGGCTGTATGGCCATGTTCCAGAAGCATTCTCTCCTGATGTTTCATTTGCATCTATGGCAGGCATCCTCAGGGGTTGTGAGGTCTGTTGGAAACTAGGCAAGTGTGGTATATATATCTGTGGAATGTCCACGGCGAGAGAAAGAACTCTTGTCTGTTTGAGGTAAGTGCAAATGTTGCAATTGGCCACCTTGATTAGCATTTAATGGCCTAGCAGTTTCAATGAATGGGATGCTGTGAGTATTCCGGGCTGTATAGCCATGTTCCAGAAGCATTCTCTCCTGATGTTTTGCCCACATCTATGGCAGGCATCTTCGGAGGTTGAAACTGCAGGCCATTCGATGCTAATCAAGGTGGCCAATTGCGACATTCACACTTGACTCAAGCAGACAAGAGTTCTTTCCCCCACCCTGGACATTGCACAGATATATAAACCTTACTTACTTATGGAACAGGACATACAGCCCAGAAAACTCACAGTAACCCATTGATTCTGGCCATGAAAGCCTTCAACAACACATTCTCACTTACTTAGTTTCAATCAGACCTCACAACCTCTGAGGATGCCTGCCATAGATGTGGGCGAAACGTCATGAGAGAATGCTTCTGGATCATGGCCATATAAGCCTGGAAAGGACCATGAAAGCTTTGGACAACACAAAGAATGAATGAATGAATGGAACACTAGAGAAGGAATCCACTTTAAATGTGTTTTCTGCCTCCTGCAGAATTCTGGGCTTTGTAGTTTAACAGCCTCACTAAACTACAAAGCCCAAAATTCTGCAGGAGGCAGAAACTGGATTTAAAGTGGATTTATTATTTAGTGCAGGCATGGTCCAACTTTGGCCCTCCAAGTGTTTTGGACTTCAACTCCCACCATTCCGAACAGCCTACCAAAACACCCGGAGGGCCAAAGTTGGCCCATGCCTGCTCTAGTGTGATGAAGAAGAGGTGAGGAGGGGAAAACGATGAAGGAAAAAAGCGGGCTTTTGGAAAAGTCTGTGCGAAGGGAGAACGAAAGGAAGGCTTTCATGGCTGGAATCACTGGGTTGTTGTAGTTTTTTTCGGGCTATATGGCCATGTTCTAGAGGCATTCTCTCCTGACGTTTCGCCTGCATCTATGGCAAGCATCCTCAGAGGTTGTGAGGTCAAAGGAAGGGTTGGAATAGAAAAAGGAACAAAGAAGGTGGAGGAGAAAGCGAGAAGCGATGAAGGAAGGAAGGAAGGAAGGAAGGAAGGAAGGAAGGAAAGGAGGGAGGGAGGGAGGAAAGAAAGAAAGAAAGAAAGAAAGAAAAAAAAAGAAAGAAAGAAAAAAAGAAAAGAGAAAAGAAGAAAGAAAGAAAGAAAGAAGAGGATCAAGGAAGCAAGGGAAGAAGGAAAGAAAGAAAGAAAGAAGGAAAGAAAGAAAGAAGGAAAGAAAGAAAGAAGGGAGGGAGGGAGGGAGGGAGGGAGGAAGGAAGGAAGGAAGAGGCTCCCCAGCCAAGCCTTTGCTCCCGCTCACCTTGCTGTAGGCGCCCCAGGAGAGCTCGGTCTCGATGACCATGACCACGATGCCGAACATGCCGAAGATGAGCGCGTAGTCGCTGAGCCGCTTCCGCTTCTCGAAGAGCGCCCGGCGGTGGCCCAACTTGTAGCCGATGTTCTGGTTCTTCTTCTTGCTCGACTTCCCGCCGCTGTTGGTCTGGCTCCCTCCGCCGCCGCCGCCGCCTCCTCCCGCCGCTCCGCCCGAGCCGTAGAGCGCCAAGTTGTTGGAGTTGTTGTGCTCGGGCTTGGAGACGACGATCTCGGGTCCGGCGGCGGCGGAGGCCGAGGCGGAGGCGGCGGGGCTGGCGGGCTGGGGCTGGTGCTGGGGCTGGAGCGGCTGCGCCTCGGAGTCCAGCTCGTGGAGGTTCCTCCGGGAGGAGCTGAGGTTGCTGAGCGGCCGCATGACGCCGCCGTTGTACCTGCAGCTGCTCATGGCTATTTCCGTGAAGGGGTTGCTCTCCCGCCGCGGCTGCTGCTGCTGCTGCTGCGAGGACGGAGGGAACTGGTGGTACTGGAGGCTGCCGCTGCTGAAGGTGCTGTTGGGGCTGCCGGCGGGTTGGCACTGGGGGTAGTGGGAGTGGTGGGGCTGAGGCTGGGCGGCGTACTGGGAGGAGGAGGAGGCGGCGGCGGCGTTGTTGGCAGAGGGCTGCCTGGGCGCGCTGGCATGGCTGGAGGGGGTCAGCTCGCCCGCGTGGAGCTGGCTGCCCGGGCGGGAGGAGGAGGAGGTCCGGAAAGGGGCGCCCGAGAGGGGCGAGGAGGTGCGCAGCAGGAGCGGCTCCCCCGAGGAGGACGAGTAGGCGCAGGGCAAGTGGTTGCACTGGAGGCAAGGGCTGCCTGGCAGCGGCGGCGCCTGCTGAGCCTTCTCTTGGCTGGGCGGCTGCTGCTGGCAATGCGGCTGCTGCTGCTGTTGGTGGTGCTGCTGCTGCTGGTGGTGGTGGTGCTGCCGCTCTGAGCAGAAGCCCGCCTGGAACTGCAGCGGCGTGTCCATGTCAGAGCTGTTAAAGCTGCAGGAGGACCAGGCGGTGGTGCACCCTGCGCAATGCGTTATGGTCGGCAGAGGGGAGTCCGGTTGCCGCCACGACGGGCCCATCCCGGCTCCCGTAGAAGACGAGCGCCGAGCCCCATTGGTCGGGCCGACCAAAACAACGGGCATCACGTCACCTGGAAAAAGGCGGGAGGGAGAGAGAGAGGGAGAAAGAGAGGGAGTGAGGGGGGAAAGCTGCAGAGTGAGGAGGAGGAGGAGGAAAGCGAGAGAGAGAGAGAGAGAGGAGGGGAAGGGGAAGGAGGAAGGAGGGGAGGATTCCGGGAGAGGCGCGTGCCAGGGACAGGCGGGCAAGAGGGCGCGCGCCTCGCCCCTCTCCCTCTCTTTCCGCCCGAGGGGATCCCACCTGCCCCTTCCTCCCGCCTCTCCCTCCCTCCTTCTCGCTCTCCACCCGGGGGAATTCCACCTGACCCCTTCCCTTCCCTCTCTCCTCTCCCTCCTTCTTCCAGTCCCAGCCCGGGATTCTCCCACCTGCCCCCTTCCTCCTTCCCTCTCCCCTCTTTCTGCCCAGGGATATCCCCTCTCCCTCCTCTCTCTCTCTCTCTCTCTCTCCCCCCTTCTCTCTCTCTCTTCATCAAGGGGGATTCCACTCTCCCTCCTTCTCTCTTTTTCCTTCACTATCCCCCCTCCTCTCCCTCCTTCTCTGCCTCCCCTTCCTCTCTTTCCGCGCCGGGGGATCCCATTTTGCCCCCCCCCTTCTCTCCTCTCTTTCCCCCTCCCTCTTTCCTCCAGGGAGGATTGCACTTGCCCTCCCCCCCTTCTCTCTCTCTCTCTCTCTCTCTCTTCATCTAGGGGGATTCCACTCTCCCCCTTTCTCTCTCTCTTTCCTCCACTATCCCCCCCTCCTCTTCCTCCTTCTCTGCCTCGTTTTCCTCTCTTTCCGCCTGGGGGGATCTCATTTTCCCCCCTTCCTCCTTTTCTTCTCTCTTTCCCCCTTCCTCTTTCTGGGGGGGGGGGTTGCGCTCCCTTTCTCTCTCCTTTTCTCTCTCTTCATCAAGGGAGATCCCACTCTCCCTCCCCCTTCACTCTTTTTCCGTCCCGGGGATCCCATTTGCCCCTCTCTCCCTTCCTCCTCCTCTCCTCTCGCTCTCTCTCTCCTTCTCGCTCTCCTTCCCCCCCCCCCTCTCTCTTTCCTCCAGGAGGATTTCACTGCCCCCCTCCTCTCCCTCCTTCCCTTCCTCCCCTTCCTCTCTCTTTTAGCCCCGGGGATCCCATTTGCCCCCCCCCTTCCTCGTCTCCTCTCTTTCCCCTTTCCTCTTTCCACCATGGGGGATTGCACTTGCCCCCCTCCTTTCTTCGCTCTCCGTGGAAAGGGGGATCCCATCTTCTCCCCCCCCCCCTCAGCACCCGCTGCAGCGCAGCCCCATTCCAGGAGGAAGAGGAGGAGGAGGAGGAAGAGGAGGGGAGCTGCCATTCGCCGCCTTGCCAAGGGCAAACCTCAGGCAGGTAAGGGGTTATTCCTCTCCGTCTCCCTCCCTCCCTCCCTCCCTCCTTCCTTTTCGTCGGGGGGCTTTTTGAACCAGGGCATCCCTTCCTGAAGTAATTACTCAGCAACCTCACTGCGTTGCTAAGTAACTGGCAGATCTCTCTCTCTTTTTCTCTCTGTCTTCCGCCCATTAGACAGAAGGTGAGGGTCTCCCATCGCCTCCCCTTGAAATGAGTCCGAATATTCATAACTTGCAAAATAGGAATCCCCCGGGGAAAGGGGGGGGGCGGAAGTGGGGAAAGCTTATGCCCTTCAGTGCCAGGCTTTCAAGAGGCCTAAAATGTTAGGAATCCCTGAAATGGCTTCATTTCACACCCAGATGGATTTAATTCAGGTTTCCAAGTGAGGAAATCGAGACAGGTGTTAGAAGCCTTGGAGCGGGAACAGGTCTCCTTCTGTGTTATGTTTTTCAACGAGAGAGGGAAGGAGATCCCCCTGATGCCTTCTTCCGGAGGAGAGAGGAGGCAACCCTCAGAGGGCTTGTTGTCTCGTTTATTGGCGCGTCGGGAGGGAGAGCTGCGGCCCGAATGAGTCAGGGGAGGGAGGGAAGCGGAGTGTAAACAACCAACTCCCTCTGGAGCGGCTCCCCTTGAAGCCCGGGAGGCGAGAGAGCGAGGGGGGGAGAGGGGGGATGGCGGCGGGGGAAGCCTGCGGAGGGAGCGAGGATTCCCGGCTCGGAACAAAGGGAAATCCCGGAATGCCGCCGCCGCCGCCTGTTGGAGAGAGAAGGCAATGAAGGCGCTTCCTGCCAGTGAGAGGAGGGGGGAGGGAGGGATAGGGGAGGCCTCGTTAACCCCTTCAAGGGCACGCTCTCCTCAAGGCGGGGAGGGGGCTGCGGCGCTGCGAGGAAAGGGGGAAGAGAACCACACTCTCTTCCCTCTCCCCCTCCCCTTTAGTGTATTTATGTTGCTAGAAAGAGGCTTTTTAAAGGGTTGGGGGCAAACTCAGCACCCCCCCCCCAATCAAAATCCTGCCATATGCATGGGGGTATTGGGATAATGATACAAAAGGTTTGCTAGGGTAGATCCTCAACCCCCCCCCCTCAAAATCAGCCCCCCCCCCCCCATGAAACTCAGCATCCCCCCCACCCCCGAATCAAAATCCTGGCTACTGGCATGCATGGGGGTATTGGGATAACAATACAAAAGGTTTGATAGGGTAGATCCTCAGCCCCCCCCCATCAAACTCAGCCCCCCCCCCCGAATCAAACTCACCACCCCCCCCCAATCAAAATCCTGGCTACGGGCCTGGTTGGGGGTCTATAATAGGAGCCTATGGTGGGACAAAGAGACTCAGCCCGGTTCTCTCATTCCTTCCTTCACAAACACCCCTTTATTTTTGGAAGAAAGCCTGGGGAGAAGGAGGGGTGGGGTTGAAGATGTGGGGGGGGGGGGACGGACACTATTATCCCTCCCATTTTATTAGGCTTTGTTTGGCGAGAGTGAGAATCCTCATTCCCTCCCCCCCCCCCCATTTTATGGCACTACCTAAAAGAATCCCTCACCTTATGTGACTGTGGAGCAGAACAGTCAGCTCCACATCTGTATGCTTGTCCACTATGCCCTGCCTCATGTACAGAGGAAGAATTGTCGGAGGCTACAGACAATGCCATTGCTGTTGCCCTTCACAAACACCCCTTTATTTTTGCAAGGAAGCCTGGGGAGAGGGAGAGATGGAGTTGAAGGTGTGGTGGGGGAGGACTATTACCCTCACATTTTATAAGGCTTTGTTTGACGAGAGTCAGAGTATCATTCCCTTTCCTCTTTCCCTTACCCCCATTTTACAGCACTACCTAAAAGACTCCCACACCATATGTAACTGTGGAGCAGAACAGACAACTCTACATCTGTATGCTTGTCCACTATGTCTTTCCTCATGTACAGAGGAAGAATTGATGGAGGCTACAGACAATGCAGTCTCTGTTGCCCGTTTTTGCTCAAAAGATATTTAGCCACACCTGCGCTCCTTCTGTTTTTATTGGTTTTATATTAATTTAAGCAATGTTTTTGATACAAAATAAATAAATAAAATAAATAAATAACCCCCATTTTATAGCTTCCCCCGTAGCACAATGGGTTAAACCCTTGTGGGAAGGAAAGGTTGGTGGTTCGAATCTGGGGAGCAGGGTGAGCTCTCCTCTGTCAGCTCCAACCAGAAAAAAATGGGGGGGGGCGCTATAAAATGGGGGTGATGGAAATGGGGGGGGGTGTTGATAAAACATGAATAGTAGTTCCATAACACAACATGAATCATGAAGAGTAGATCCATAACACAAAATAATTTAAATAGTATAGTTCATTCTATATTTTATATAGACTTAATTAAATCCATTTACTGGTCTCCTTCAAGGTTGGTGGTTCGAATCCGAGGAGTGAGGTGAGCTCCTGTCGGTCAGCTCCAGCCAGGGCTATAGCCAAGAAAAAAATGGGGGGTGCTATAAAATGGGGGTGAGGGAAATGGGGGGGGGTTGAAAAAACACGAAGAGTAGTTCCATAACACAACATGAATCATGAAGAGTAGTTCCATAACACGAAATAATTTAAATAGTATGGTTTATTCTATATTTTATATAGACTTAATTAAATCCATTTTCTGGTCACCTTCATGGGGGGGGGGGGGGGGGGGGGGGGGGGGGGGGGGGGGGGGGGGGGGGGGGGGGGGGGGGGGGGGGCTTTCAAAGGGGGGGGGGGGGGGGGGGGGGGGGGGGGGGGGGGCGGGGGGGGGGGGGGGGGGCGCTTCATGGGGGGGCCTTCAAATCCCCCCATTCCTTAGACTTTGCCTGTCAGTTATGGGTGGGCCAACTTCCACTATATCAGCTATTGCTGAATAGATTGTCAAAATTTGCTAGGGATAGTGCTTGCAGTTCTGGAGGGACTCATTTAATAGACTTGGCAGGGGAATATGGGTAACCAGTTTAAATTAATGAGTAAATCAGGTTTTTTGTAAACCTGAAAAAAATCGGGGGGGGGGGGGTGAACCCCCAACCCCCCCCCCCCCTACAGCCC